CCGTATTGTCTCATCACCCTACAAGGAATAATGAAAGTAGTACTAGATAGGCCTAAAAGAGTAATATAGGGACAATTAAAACTATTCCCAACCATACTACTTATGTTCCACCAAGGAATCACAAAGCGATGTTGAGAACCTCATGACAAAAAAACAACGTCCATTCTTCTTCATTCTTGTGTTTGTAGAGAATTCGACGTCCAGGGACTGTTCTCACTCCATGAGCCTCAAAATTTTCCCGCTATCCAATAATTTGCAAGCGTTCCATGAGCCAAATCTGAAAAAAAAAAATGAAGAAAATTAATTTGCGACATTACACGAGCAGGAGGCGCGCGCATCAGCGAAGATTGCGCTGGTAAGGCTAGCGGAACTTCCTAACTTGCGCTGCTTTACAATGAAAAAAACGTACATGTAATAGGAGTGGACTTCCTGTGAAACCATTCTCGTTAGGGTCTCTTCTAAGGCTATTCAAGCATAGAACGGTTTTTGCCAAAGCTAAAGGAGCGGGGGAATGACTTCCCTCTATTTGCTCTACTATGGACACCATGGAATAATCTTTGTATTCTTTACCTGTCCTAAGTAAACAATTGACAATAACATAAAGCACAAATTTTAAAACGTTGTTTAATCAAGTTGTAACAATGGGCGACGAAATTTTCAATAAATTGAATTAAATCCACGCCTTCTTCTATTCCAATGTTAACCATATCATTATCACTCAAACCAAAAAATCGTTGAAAAACATGTTTGGGATCTGACAAGTTAGGGGCATATGTCACAGGCAGAGTATTTTTAGGGAAGCCTAGTAGAGCCTCAAAGTCGCCAAGTAATGGGACAATTTCATCCCCTTTAAAAAGAAAGAAATGGTGGTTTGAGTCCCAATGATTGATAGCAGCATGGAGAAAATCAAAGTTTATAACTAGTTATATATAATTCAATAGAGTGTCGTCAAGGTGGTATATTTTGAAGGCTAGTTTATCCTCAATTGAAAGGGAAGTGACCCATTGCTTCAACCGTTGTTCAAAGGTTTTTGCCATTGATCAATATGTACAAAAAAAGAAAAAAGAAAAAGAAAAGAAGAAGGGAGAAAGAATTTAGAAAGATTAATTCTTAGTAATTCTTTATAACACTAGTAAGCGAATGAATGCGAGATGATCAAAACCCTAAAACAAAACCACACTTAAATAGACCCAAGAGGGGCAAATTTTTGGAAATTTTAGCTCTAAGGAAAGTTCACACGCAGGTGGCGCGCGCAACCTATTCACATACGCGCGACAGCCGCTTGCAAGACATTTAGTCGCGCACGTCAGGTCTATCGCGACATGTCGTTTTGATTTTTTTTCGTATTTTGAACTTCATAATAACGGAATATTGACGAAATCTTATGAATAATCATACGCTTAAATTTTGTTAACTCTTATGTCTTTTTTATGCTTTATTTTATTTTATTTTCTTATTTTCTTCTTATTTTCCTTTTCTCTTTCTTTCTTTTTATTTTTCCCTTCTTTTTCACTTTCCTTTTCATGTCCTCTTTTCTTTGTTCCTTTTTTTTGCTATTGTTTCTAGTGGGGTAAGTCGGGAACCCTTTCCCTTCCTCGAGAAATATTTTGCTTTACTTAAGAAAAATAATGACATATATATAAAATGTGTGTTATATGTACAAAAAATATATATAAAAAATATGTACATATGTTTCCGGAAAAAAAAAATATAAATACAAAAGAAGTCATGATGCTCGGCGACTCCTAGACGGCTGCCTACATACGACAAAATCCAAACAAAGATTAATACACAAAACTGTGTAAAAACTATGATAAAAGAAAAGGAAATAAACTTCCCGCGACCATCCGATAATCACGGCATGATAGAGCCACGAGGGCGCTCCGATAAGCAGCTCGGAAAGCACGTATAGTCCTTACCATGTTGTTCACAGTCTCTCGCAGTACCTGTTCTACATACAAAGAAATTTAACAAACAAACGTATATGAAAAAAAATGTAAAAACAAATACATATACGAAATAAACATACCGACTCAACCGTCTCAGGAATATGCGGTATGTCCTCCTCCTCCTCCGTTGTTGGGAGAATCTCACAAATTACCGATCCAAAAGCATCGGTATACGTGACCTCCACCGTAGGAGGCACCCAACCACCTAGCTCGACTCGATGAAAACACAATAAGAGAGTCAAGGTTCCGAAAATAAAAGAAAAATAAAAAAAAGCATATGGTAAAATACTAACCTGAACAAAAGCTGGGAAAGGAGTCAACCTGGATGCGATGAAAGCCTGGTAAGATGCATCCAGCAGCACCAGCTGCTCCGCTAGATAATCGAGGATCGTCTGAGCTCAATCCTCGATAGACAGCAAGTCTGGACGCAACATCCAGATCAGAGGATCCGCAAGGACCGTAGGCTCCTCGAATGAAGAGTGTCAGAGAACACGCTCACCTAAAAACCAAGCGTCTGTCCTCTGGAGGACTGGAAGTCCCGGATTAAGGGCCCGGAAACGGCAACGAATCATGCCAAACCGGACACCCTCAAGGACTCTGTCGATCAAAATCCAAGGACAAAGATCGATATATAAACACAGCCACATGAAAAATAATAAAAATAATAAACAAAAATCGAAAAAAAGAGAGAGAAGATGCACATGTGGTTGAAATACTCGCCGATGCACGAGTCACCGAAAGGATCCTCTAGCAAAATTTGCCGGCTTAAGTGGTTTGCCTCTTCTTAATCGTGACCAGTCGATGGCCGATAGGAAAGCGAGCAGCCCCGAGCATCCTGGGGGCTAACAAAGGAAGGTACGAATATCCCCAAGCCTATGAGAAGCGAAAAATAATAAGAAAAAGAAAACAAAAATGGCGATTAAAAGAAAAAAAAAAAGGATAAGTACGCACCTCAAGGATATGACCATGCCACGTAAGGGAGATCCGAGGCACCTCAGTAGCTGCCACTGAATCCATCACCCGGGTCGCCTTGCCCATAGTTGTAAGCATACGAGCATACGACACCTCCGCCCAACTCAAGTTACATACCTGCCCCAAATCACTGAGGCAGATAAGTAACCCAATGGCGAAACGCTCTCCCCGATCACTCAAGATAGTGACGAAAAGAACCTGAGCAATGTATATCCGAGCCAGCTGCTTAGGTGTACACTATCGATCAACCTCGTCAGCCGACAACTCATCGACAAGAACCGAGTACGGACAAGACTGCGCATACATGTGAAGCGTCGTCGCAAGACGATCCCCCACGAGGTCACGCAGTCTCTCGTCTGACCCCTTAACGACCTCCATAGCTACGGGCTCACCTCTAAAAGGAAAACCCATAATCATAGAGAAATCGTAAGGGGTAACTGTCATCTCTCCCCATGGAAAGTGAAAAGCGTTCGTGGAATCCTACCAAAACCCCAACAATCCATGAAGGAAAGTCGACGACGAATGCTAACTTAATAAATCCCGATGAGCCGCCAGCTGGGAGCTGATCCCCGATAGATCCACAAACTTCTTTGCCACCTTGACTAAACTCTCAAAACGACCTCGCAGATCACCAGAGACGTATAGGCGCATGCTAGGCTCACTCTAAACAAGGAAAGGCACAAAAGAGAGTAAAAAAACTTGTTTCGAATAAAAAAGAAAAAAAAACACGGAGGCGCAAGGGACTCACGATGCCGAGCCAACCCTTGATCGAGACATGATGGTCTAGGCCCCACTTAAGGACCCTAGGGTCCCATTTGGGAAGAGCGTTTTAAACCACATCCTCTTGGCGACGACGACGATCAGCACCAACGCGTCGCTCCCGAACCTCCTCACGAGGACGGGTCACCCTCTTTTGAGGGTGAACTGCCTCGTCAGGCACGGGATCTCCTAAAACCTCCTCATCATTGACAAATGGAGGCGAATCCATGCTATGAATGGATAAAGTTTCTTTATTAGTTTATTTTTCTAAACTAAGCTAATATACACGTTCTGGACCCATTTCGGCAGCATAACGGATACCGAAAGGGCAAAACACAAAAATCGAATGCCACCCATGCTAGGGGGCTACGATACCTGCAGTTAAACTCAGTACATGGGGGCTTCTAACACCCAAAAAAGCCATCCTATACCAGTTACAACTAAGAATTCAAGGGATTATGTTCCAAAATCTCAAACAATCAACTATGTCTAGGCGAATAATAGTAACAATAATGCAATTATCGTTTACCAAACAATCTTGAAGTTCGAACATGGAAAAAATAAGCTAAGTATACACTTCGCGCCAATTTTCGGATTCATAATTTTCAAAACATTATTTATGAAGATATAATTAGTTCTAATACTATAATTACTTCATAATCATTAAGTATAACCAAAATGAGCAAGAAAAATAACAAAAAACAAACCAAATTAGAAGGAAAGTGCAAAAAACGTACTCAAACAAAGAAATTCTCATACAAGCACTAGTGGAAAAAAGGCTATCCGTAAAGGGCAAAAAGGGCCCATCCGTAACGGGCAGCGTTCGTTACGTATGCGGCCGTTACGGATGGTCATTTTTGTTCGTAACGGGCACTGTCCATTACAAATAACCCATTATTCGTAACACACATTTCAAATGTCCGTTACGAATAATGGGTTATTCGTAACAGGCGTTTCAAATGTCCGTTGCGAATAAGGCCTTTTTAGTACTAAAATAAGTCCTTATTCGTAACGAGCACCTGAAACACCCGTAACGAATAACGGCGTTCGAATAACCCATTATTCGCAGTGGACACCTTAAATGCCTGTTACGAATAAGGTTTTATAGTATAGAATTAAATACTTATTTGTAACGGGCTACAAAAATGCCCGTTACGAATAAATGCTTATTTGTAACTTACAACTCTCCTGCCCGTTACAAATAGTCATTAAATTAAATTGTTTTTTATTAAATTTGGCAAGCACGTATTTATATATAATTAATATATATTAATTAAAACCTATTATAATAAACATCTTCCTATAAATAAACAATTATACCGAACAAACTTTCGTAAAAATTAATACGACATAATATAAAAATTTAAGTAGTAAGACATTACAAATAAAAACTTGTATAAATTTATCCAACACATACAACAACACTAATAACTTTGTTCTACCTAAGCTAATAGTTATGCATTCAATAAATATATAGTTCTAAAGTATTGCGCCCACTGTTCTCGAACCACATTCAACTCTTCAACATCATACGGGACTTTCCTTGGACAAAAATCCTATAAAAAAATATGAATGAGGTTACAAAATAAAAACAATTCATAATAAAAACAATCATTAGAATAAATGTGATGGTCAAAATTATAGAAATAAAAACTCAAAATATAGAAATAAACACATAACATCTAAAATTAACTTATATTTTGGTTTCTATGAATTGAAATCAATTAAAAGTGACCATTTACTCACTTTTCGGAGCGTATAAAGCCAAAAAGGCTTCAAAACTGCCTAAGGGACTTCTATCTTTCCCATCTTTCATGTATTAGTCCAAATTATAGAAATAAAACACATAACATCCATAATTAACTTATATTTTAGTTTCTATGAATTAAAATCAATGAAATAGGATCATTTACTCACTTTTGGGAGCGTATAGAGCCAAAAAGGCTTCAAAATTGCCTAAGGGACTTATATCTTTTCCATCTTTCATGTATTAGTCCAAATTAACACAATAAAACACATAACATCCTTAATTAACTTATATTTTGGTTTCTATGAATTGAAATCAATGAAAAGTGACCATTTACTCACTTTTAATTTGGGAGCGTATAGAGCCAAAAAGGCTTCAAAATTGCCTAAGGGACTTCTATCTTTCCCATCTTTCATGTATTGGTCCAAATTGTAACGGGAAATCATATGCCCGTTACGAATAGCTTGTTACAAATAAGATATTTTTCCACTATTGACTAGGGTGTACCTTTGCTTTTGTGGAGGCTTGATTTCAGCATGAAACAAAAAAAGATTTCCATTTTACAAATCACAACCTAAATCAAGCTACACAATAGGATATGCCCAAACTAAGAAGCTAATACAGAGAAACGATAGTACTTTATAAAAACACCAAGGAGCAATGAACATCAATATAAGATTCATTGATAAAAAAAAAAAATAATAAAAAAAAAAATAAAAAAAGAATGTATAAAGTATTCAAATCGACCAAACTAACTAGCAACATTGTAATATCATGACACACATAAAGCATATGACAAAAAAATTGAGCTGCCTACTCACAATTTCATGATCGCTCGCAAGGCCGAACTTAATTCCAATCAACTCCAATCCCAATCAGGAACAGTTGAAGCCTCTTTTTCCTCTATTTTTTAAAGAACAATGCAAGAAATTTGATCCATCTTATGGTGGCATACAAGAGAAAAGCACTCCTGTGTAAGAACATCGACATATACAATAATAAGTGAGCACATGTGATTATATCATAACATATTAACAGCATTTTTGAAAACAAGGTATTCCAACCTGCCAGACATCACATGTTTATCTTATTGTTACATAACAGCTGCAGTTTATTTATTAGTATCAACAGACCTAAAGCTTGTTACAACTTAGAATGACAACAGCAGCAACAACATCAGCAAACCAACAAGACATCAAAAATCAAAAGCTCTCATAAGATCGTCTCGTCTTGTGTATAAATCATGAGAGTAACCAAGTGCATTGATAATTCTTCATCTTGTTTCAGGCTTACGGATGGCATTCATAATTACATTGACAAGTGCAAACAAGTATATATAAGCCATTATGCATATAAGAGCATATTTGATTATTATATAACACTAATGATAATTTGCACCAAAAGATACAACATATACGTAATTGCATATTCATATATTAAGTAACAGAAAAGTTGAGAGTCTTAAGACTATTAGGTTACAACAACCTCAAGTGTATAAATAGCCACCTATACTAACATTTTAATGAATATAATACTCATAGAGTAGACAGCAAGTTAGACACCCTAGATTGGCTAGATGTTGGCTCACACAAGAATCAGTCGAGAAATGGATGGGTTAAAAAAAAAACCTAAATCATTAGAAGTCATTGAGTAAGATCTAGTATAACATGATTGATATAGTCACCTATGTCCAAAACATATCCAACACTGAACACCATCAATACTAAGAAATTGAAAACATCAAGTAATTCACATTAGAAAGCAATCAATAATTGCAATTATAATGTAACAAGGGATTCAAATATGATACCTAATATGCCTCAGCCTGATAAGCACCCTAGCATGGTGAACAGACTTGGCCATACCATACTTGAAGATGAGGGTCTGAAGACACCTCTCCAAGAAGTTCTCAACGGTAAGAGCCAACATGTAATCGGGCTTGTTCTATCCTTCATCCAATAGCTCGTACCTATTCATCCTCCTCAAAAGATCTTCTCCCTCAAAGATACGGCGAGGGTTCTCATCCAAAGTAAGAAGATGCCTTGAAACATTACGGATACGGCTCATACTCACCTACATGCTTCAACTCAGCATCCAATCGCTGCTTCTCATAAAGAAGGTGTGGCTTCTTAAATGTCTTCCCATCTATACACCATCGAGTTTAGATTTGTATCCTAAGATGAAACAAATCTCTTTCAGCTCTGAGCATTGGAGTGCAGAAATAAGTGTTTGAACGACAGATAGTATTGCTCCCAATCACTGGCGGAGCCAGGATTTTCAAATTGGGGGGACAAATTATGGATATAATATAAAAGCGAAGACAGTTGCATTATAATGTATTTAATCCTGATATACCAAAGCACCAACAAGAATAGAAGTATAAGCAATCACATGATAATGCACTAACAGGATTATAAGCAAAGGATATCACAAAATCTAAAGTGTTGCACATAATGACACTTAATCAACAAAAACATAATAAAAGCAGAACCAAATATACTTGCCTAATGGAAGTCCATTTAATATGGGCAGCTCCCAAAGATTGTGTTTGTACATAAAAATGGCTAAATGTTGCTCCTTCACCGATGATCACCTCAAGAACATAATTAGTCCAATAACACTTGTTACCATCTCCACCTAAAAACACCTCAACTATACCCACCTCTCCTCCCTTCTATCAACACCAATACTCTCGGGTTCGAAACCGGCAACATATTCGACTCGGCATCACTCCCTTTCAGTGAGAAAGACCTCAAATTTAAAGGGGCATCAACTCGGCACCCTTCAGGCACATAAATAAAGATCAAATCAGGAGCACCAACCCCATTTAAAGACCAAAACAAATCCCCTTCAATATTTGACACAAATTCCGATACCCTTTTCAGAATATATAGCCTCAGAAAATAAGTAAAGTATGGGGAGAAAGAAAGGGTTATTGGGTTAACAATTAAAATTGCAAATTGGGGATTTCAAATTTTCAATTAGAAGAACAAATTAATATATTTAAGAGTTAAGACATACCTTTAGATGCAGCGAAGACCAGAAGATGACCGAGGCGGCGACTGGCGACTGACGGACGACCGACGACGATGAGGGGTTTGGCAGGCAGCGACCGAGCGACAGACAGGACTTTGGTTTTTTAATTTTGGTGACTGTCTAACGGAATTGAAGGTTGTCCGCTGTGCGCTGTCGTCTGTCGAACCTCGTCATTGGCCTCACTGCTGCGAACTGCCGGAGAACGGTGGACAGCGTCAGGCGACTCTGGCGAGGTGAGGGCGAATCGAAGAGAGAGAAATTAAAAATTGAAAGACTTAGGGTTTGGCTGCAAATGTCGCACAGAGCACTCTGTAATTGCGTTTTTTTGTTTTTTTTTTTAAATTTTTTTTTTTTTAATTTTTTTTTTTGAAAATGGGGGGACAAGTGTCCCCACTCGTCCCCTTCTAGCTCCGCCCCTGCTCCCAATTCCATTTTTTCAGATTGAAGCTAAGTAATGTAGGTTTTCTTAGACGATAATGTGTGATCAAAATGATATTAAATATGCAGTCCTACAAGCCTCATATATGCAGTTTATAATGGACAATGACTTGTACCTACTGAAAAGAATGATTAAATTATACAAAAAAGATTCTTTGCACCTTATAAAATGAAGAAAAAAAGAAAATAACCTATGAAACGAGACAATTATTAGCACTTTTCTACTTAAAAGAGTCTTGCAAATCTAATAAAAGCATCCTAAACAAATCTTGAAAAACAGGTTTTATACGAATACACTCATACACCTATTTAATGTGAGATGTGACATACAGATTATTATTTAGGGAGAGTATTGACCATTGTAAAAAAAAAAAGAAAAAAAATTGCAATTAAAAATCTTCTTCATATGAACACTTAGTCATAAAACCAACCCAAAAATACACCTTCCATTGGAAAGATATGTATGTCAATTGTAAGAACACACAAGTACATTAGCCTTTTATATTACCCCAGAAAAGCTAAACGCGTAAGCATAAGATACTAGTCAACTACCATCGCGCATCCCAAGTACTCCCAATTCCATAATGCTATGATCAAGTTATAGGGATCAATTTAGTTAGAGAACCATTGATGATATTCACAAACTCATAGTTCCCTCGCTCTCAAGCGACTAAATATTTAGACAAGTATCCCATTGCTAGTCATCTGCCTAGGACCGATATTTATAGACTCTTTGAATACAAGAAAGTCAAGAAGGTGCTAGGAGAATAGTCATTAAAAGAAAAGTATAGGGATTACAGATGCCAATGGCATTAGTGGTTCTTCTTAATGCCCAAAATGAATTGATTTTACCCGATTTTACGTGGACAGTATTTTGAGAATCACACATTTACAAGTACGGAGTATCTATTTCTAAAAGCAGGGTAATTTTAAAACCCATAATAATGTCAATTGCCTTTTCCTATAACTTATTAGGGAATCTGTTCTTGGATTGGTTAGTCTTTATTTGTTCAGTTTATCAATCAATCAATTTAAAATTTCCTTGCTAATTTCAACGATTTAAAGTAATTAATCTAGTAAAAATAGAGATAATGCACAACAAATAGATCGAAATTAATCAAATAAAAAAAACCCAGGTAATTTCAAATGTTTAAATTAACTAATCTGAGAAAAACAAAGAGAATGCAAAGCAGATTGATCGAAAAAATCTGATAAAATGGAAAAAAAAAATAAAAATAAGAGAAAAAAAAAGGGAAAAGGGAGATGAGAGGAGAAATTACAGTTTCGTAGACGACGTGGACCATGGTGGCTCACCGGCGGCGAGTTGAAGGTAAGTTTTGAAGAAAGAGTGGAGGCTCCAAACAAAACAATGGAGGAGAGAAACCAATAAGAAATTAAACAAAGGCAGAAACAAATTGCAGATAGCAAAATTGCAGCAGTAAAATCACTCATAATAAGCAATCATAACTTGAATAATCACAACCAGACAGTTCAATAATCCACCTTAAAAGAACCTGGCTTTCGCTGAAATTGGATCTGAGGAGTTCGATAACCCGGAAACACCCTAACTTCAGGTATACAGTTAGTTCTTAAGAGATTCTCTTGTTAACTTTGGATATGAGAATCAACCTTACCCTAATAATATTAAATCAAATCAGAAAGCCAAAAAATAGGGAAATCACCAAGAACATTTGGGTACGAGAAGCCTTAATGATGATCTCAGTGCGCATCATCTTCTTCATCAGAATCGTAAGCAGCTTGTTGAACGTACAACGATGCATGATTCTTCTTAAAAATCTTAGGGTTAGTATGAGGTATAATTAGGCTGTGAAATTGGAGGCTGAAAGTGAAGAGAGGTTCAACAATGGAGGAAGTAGAGATAAAATTGAGGTAAGGACAGGTGGAAGAGAGAAAGAACTGAGAGAAAATCGCCATTAAAGGAAGTAATCTCTGAGGAGAGAGAGAGAGGGGAGAGCAAGAGGAGAGAGATGTAATCTGAGTTACGGTTGCTGAAAAATGAAGTAAAACTTTTAGGGTTTTTTTTAACATATAACCCATTTGTATCAGGCAACTGGTGCCTGTTACAAAGAACAAGTTATTTGTATTGGGCAATTTACTGCTCGTTACAAATAATGCACAAATAATGCAATATTTGTAACGGGCATCATTTTCCCCGTTACGAATATATTTTTCGTAACGGGCTATTATTTTGCCCGTTACAATAGGTTAATTGTAACGGATAAATCAGTGCCTGTTACAAATAAGGTGTTACAACTGACATTTTCTCCACTAGAAAAAGGTTCAATACTTAGCCATTTTTCATGAAATTTGTTGCAAAACACTCCTTAAACATAGCACAATAGCATGGAACAAACAATTTCAAGAATAATGGTATGAATCAAAAACTCCCTAAATTCAAAAATTAGGGTTTAATGATTCGAAAAACACCCAAATTCCGCCAAAAACAAACGAATTTAAACAAACAACTTACATTGGAATGTGGCAAATTAAAATTAAGGGTGAGATCTACTTCCTTTGGCCTTGAAATTCGCAAAAAAACTAAGCTTTTTAGAGAGAGAAAGGAATGAAAATGGCGAAGGAAGAAGAAGAAGAGAGTAAAATGAAAATCGCGCTCAACGATTTCTTTTTGCTCACTTAAATGTCGCGCGCAACTGAAACAGTTGCGTGTGAGAGACCAGCGCAACTCAGAACGATGTGCCCGCCTAGCCCGCGCGACCCACTGAGTTGCGCGCGGATACTAGTCTCTAAATTGACCGGTATCCAGATTTTGATCAGTTTAATTATTTTCCAACGGTTTTGTATGTTGTTCAACGTAATAACGTGCAAATTATCGAAATCTTTTAAAATTGCTTTGCATCTAGTAGTTTCTTTTCTTCTTTGATATTTTTTGCATCATTATGCATGCACACCGTGCTTTATGTCTTCCCCAAGCATAAGTTTTGGACATTTTTCGTAAGAGTGTCTTAAGACGTTCGGTAGTGGTGCTTTACGTAAAAGCTCCCATAGACAGGTTTGTCATTTTACTGTACTAACGTTACAAATGTTCGGCTTTTCTTCTTTTTTCACGTCCACAGCTAAAAGGAAGGCGCCATCATGCAGCGTAAGAATTCAAGGCATTATCATATAACGTAAAATTGTATGGCATAGGTGTCGCGTAAAATTTCACTTATTCCCCAGCTTTGAGAGATCTACCTCTCGGAACTAAAAGGTAGAGAATTACTTTTCTTTAAGCGTTAGCTCACAAGTCGATAGGCACGCCGAACCATTCAGGAACAGACACTTCTTGATTGGAAGCAAATACGATAGTTAGTACGCTTACTAGCTTACCGGATAGTTAGGGTGTCGTCCACCCCCTGTATAAAGAGCAACGAGATGATGTCGTACCTATGTAGTTACGTGCCCCCAGTCTTGAGACACGTGTACTCATCTTGTGGACAAAACTGCTGAGAGAGTTGCCGATTTTCTTCTTTCTCACTGGATTTGGATATATGCCTCCAGTCCTGAGACATGTATTTCTATCTTGTGGACATCGAGTATTGCGTTTTGACAAGTGAATTATCAAGAACTATATTCCGGCTGCGAAAGCCAAAAGTTTTAGGCTGCGAAAGCCGAAATATTTTTTTTATCATCTTTTTAAATTGTTAAAATTAGGCTAAAGTTTCAATGACATATCGAGGGACTTTAGACCATTGATGACATGATTGGGTAGACATCATCCCTTTTTTAATCCTTTTTAAACCGATCTCTTATCATGACATGACATCACCCAGTACACCTTTACTTGTAAAAGCGTTCTACAATTGCAAAGGATCAATCTAGATTCTTTAGCGCGTTAAGACATAGCAAATACTTTTTCTAGCCTTAATAGCTACTTGTTTCAAACACTTAGAGAATCAAGGATTGTTTTGACTTCCTAAACATTTCTGAAAGATTCTCTATTCTTTGAGAACTTCGCAGAATAAGTCTCGGATTTATTTCCTTGGCTACTTTGATCCTCGTTTATCCTAGACTTGATCAAAGTGGGTACTAACTGTAGACATCTACCTTTGGCCTCCTGTCCCGACAGGAAGTGCAATGACGATAAATAAAACCATATTTGTGTTGGATCGAAGTCAAGAATGCTTATGGATGACTGGCTAAACCGCAAAGATATAAAAAGACTAGCCTAACCCAAAACAAATACAAAACAAGTAACTGAACGCGATCATAATTAGGCTTAAGCCTGTGCTTAAGACCCAATAATGACGAATTTGGAGGCACCTAGGTTAAAATTAATGCTGCCGCAGATAAATTCTCTTGCATCTCAATGAGTCACGCTGGTCTGGTGCGCCAACACCCAGCGCAACTTCTAGATATGCACTCGCGGAAGATTCAGAATTTTATAAATTATAGAATCGAATTTTACCATAAAATCGCGCGCAAGACATCCAGTTGCGCTGCTATGGGCAACGCAACTAAATCACTTGCGCTGAGATGCCGCGCGCAACTCATCTAGATGCACGTGACACCTGCTGCGGCAGAATTCTTAAAAACCTAGTTGCACCCATTCCCTATAAATAGGGGCTTAATACGAGGCTTAAACACACAGAAATAAACCTAAAATCCTGGCAAAAACTTTTGTGAACTTGTGCTACCGAACCCTCTTGTCCTAAACACTCACCCCTCTTAATCTTTGTTACTACAGTGGAGGTTCCCGAACAAGAAGGAGTCCATAAGTGTTCTAACGGAGATCTAGCAAAGAGAAGTGGTAAATTCCCGAGCACTTAGATAAATCACATTTACTTTTCTTGTTTAAAAGAACTTTAATCAACAAAATAGTTTTGTTTGACCACTTTAAATGGATATTCAATAAATCAATTTCACGTAGTATCTTGTGTTAAATAAGATTAGAATTAAATAATTAATTGATTGATTGATCACCTAAGCCAAGGCGAATCTTATTTACTTTTGCTCTTTTACGAATTTGAATTAAATAAAAAATAACGATTTTGCAAAGTAATTCCTACGTGATTAATGCTTGTAAATAAAATCAACTAACTTAGTCTTAGGTATCATGTTGCATATATTGTTTGGTGATGAAATTGCAAAAAAGGAAGAGCTAGTAGAGGCCGCACTAGGGCTAGAATAGCGATTCTCCTTTAAAGGGAACGTTATTTTAGTACCCTCGCTCCCGAACTCATTTCTGGTTTATGTAGACCAATTTGGGCATGGGTAAACTTACAATTTGTGCTAAATATCCCATGAACTCCACATGGGAGAAAGGCATTGTAGACACCCAAATGTGTCTCCCCAAAACCAAACCCAGTGATGAGTATCATCCACGTCGAATCATAATCGAATGAAGTGAAAGTGTGGAAAGTTTAGTGTTGCGGATAGTTTTAATTTATTTTCTCTTCCCTCTGTTTTTGAAAACCTATTTTAAGAAAACATCCAATCCAGTTTGGTTGGTCCATGATATGGGTCCAATCGTAGTGTAGTTGGATGGGTCTTGAAAAAAGCTTTCCAACGATATATTATAAGCCCAATTCCGATGAATATTGAGGAAGTTATGGGAAAATTACTGAACTGGGCCCGGTTTGAGCCTTATATGCAGCCCAATGATCTAGAGGAGGGCCTAATATGAATTTATCATTACTAATGAAATTAGGAATGGTTTTAGTCTTCTAGATTCTTCTAGAAGGTTCTTTTCATTCTTAATTCAATTAGCATTGATAAATTGACTTTTGTTGACTTTTTAGAGTTTTATTTAGAATCAAAGAACGTTTTTGAGGAAAATACGATTTTATCCTCCTGTACGACAATTTATATCTGATTTTAAGAAAACGCGTGAATTTCTGAGTCAGCGCCAAACGCCAGCTGTAGCGTCTGACGCTACGCTTGGCACCTAGCGCTAGCCTTAGCGTCTGGCGCTAAGGTCAACGTTTGGCGCTAACTTGGATTTTTGCGTCAGAACTCTGTTTTTGATGTTTTATCTTTTTGGCTGATTTTTTCTATAAATAATGTCGTAAAAACCCCGTTTTCATTCATCAATTCTCATTAATACCAATTTTCACCAACTCTCGTCAAGATTTTCTTGATTACTCTCCCTCTCTCTCTTTTCTAAACTAGCTTCTCTCAAATATAAAAATTTTGCATTCATTAGATTTAGATACACCTAGCCATATTCGAAGTTGCCTTCGCCCTAAACGTGAAAGGTTTAATTTCTGAGTGTTTGGTCCCAAATCTCTCTTTCAATTATTTAATTTAATTGTTTGTTTATTATTTTCCTTAATGTTACAAACATATGTATTTTGTTATTAGAAAGAGGTACGAGGCATCCAAGTAAGTACTTTAATGGTTTTTATTATTATATAGAGATCATGTTTAGGTTGTTATTATGATATTCCTAGTATCATGTCTAGAGTAACTTTAATACTAAGTATGATTGTTATGATGCCTTTTATTTTCTTCCTATTATTTATGAGTGTTAGTATCATGTTAGGGCTAAAGCTTTGATTTTTATTGCTTAGTGACATGCTAGGTTTGTTATTAATTTTGTTAGTATCATGCCTAGGATCTTGCTATTATTATGCTTTAACATGATTATGATTATTTTTATATTTATGATTATTTTAATTATTACTATGATGATTATTTATTATGTTGCTTGATGCTATTTTTATTGTTATTGCTTGATCACGCCTTTTATGCATGTTTAAAGAGAATTTGTACTTGTAATCACGCTTAATAAGATAATTAATAATCTTTTTTAGGGTTAATATGATTATAATTCAAGTGATCGCCAATAATAGATTTATTTGTGCATTAATATTCAATCAACATAGATAAACAGGTTTAGGGTTAGTCCTATTGATTGCATGTTAGTCAGAAAGTGCACATGAATACGATCAGAATAAAGTAGGGGCCTATTAATAGGGAAGGTTCAATCTCTTTTAGGTTGGATTTGTACCTTCATCCCCGAACCCTATTTAGTTCAAGACCTTATGGAGTTAACGATCTCTTGGATAGTTAAGGGGTGTAACCCTCACCTCGTGAACGGGTTACAAGT